CACACAGACTGTGAGTGGCGTTCGGCGTAGCATTCCATCTGTCTCGCCTTCTCCGTCCACCATGCATTTTTAATGCGACGGAGCTCTCAGGTCAGTCGCCGTCGAAGTTTGCGAAACTGAGTACTCTTCCCCAAGTCACTGGGGTCTGTCACATGTGCAGCAAATGCTGCATTCTTCTCATACACCATTGCGCCAATCGTCACATTGTTGTCATCAAACCAATCAGACCGTTTACAGTTTGCGCGCCCGATGGTCTCCTCGGCAGCAGCTGTCACCTGGTCGCGAATGTGGTGCCACAGGTTGCCCACTGTGGCTATGCAGTCCACATCACCACACAGGCGTGCAGCCATCGCCTTCTCCAGCTCAGTACGTTTCGCCACAGTACCGAGGAAGAGAATATTAAATTTACGCCGATTCACGGCGGGAGTGCAATACATAGATTTCCGAAAATATATGTACAGTTTGGTCCGAACCAATTTGTGATCAGTGCCACACTCAGCTCCACGCAGTACACGTGTCATGCGCACTTCACGCATATCACGCTGACGTACGATGACATACTAGACCAGGAGAGCGTGACCACTCCGTGGGTGCGTCCAAGTTGCTATATCACTCGCACTCAGTGCAAACCGAGTGTTCGTGATTGTCAGGCCGTGAGTGGCACACAGTGAGAGCAGCCTTTCACCGTTCGCATTCCCTGAACCAATGCCATGCGAACCGATAACATCTGTCCACGCTGATGCATCACGCCCAACGCGCGCGTTGAAATCACCCAGCAGAAATAGTCGGTCGCTCCTCGGCACAGACCGTATCACGGAGGATAGCTCAGTGTAGAACTGGTCACGCGTGTCATCAGGATAACACATGGTCGGACCGTACGTGCTTATGAAAGTGGTAAGCTTTCATCTTCCGAGTCGTAGGCGAACAGTCATCAGTCGCGCACTGATTCCCGTTGGTTCACCCACCAGCTGGCCATTCAGGCGATCGGATATTGCAAATCCGACGCCACGTTCACGTGATGCTGAGGCGGCGTTCCCCACCCAGTTGAATGTGTAGCCAGCGCCTGCTTCATGTAACTTACCTTGCTAGCGAGCCGAGTTTCACTGAGCGCCGCCATATCGAAGTGGTAGCGCGCCAGCTCCATTGCGACCAGTGCAGTGTGTCGCTCCGGGCGCTCGCTGGAGTTCCGGTCCAGTAGTGTGCGCACGTTCCAGCACCCGATGCTGAGTGCTTTGCGCGCAGGCATACGATTGCATTGGTAGGAAATCGCACGCGAGGTGGTCGTTGTGCTTCGGAGGCTTGCTTGAGGGACTCCACCCGGAGCTTTTGGCTCAATAGCCTGACCCACAAGGCAGTGGGTGGTTTGGAGGTTTGCTTGAGGGACTCCACCCGGAGCCTTTGGCTCAATAGCCTGACCCACAAGGCAGTGGGTGGTTTGGAGGTTTGCTTGAGGGACTCCACCCGGAGCCTTTGGCTCAATAGCCTGACCCACAAGGCGGTGGATAGCAGATCCATCTCGGGAATGTGATTGCAGAGACAGATGGGAATCTGCTTGACGGCCGTCACACGCAGCCTTTGAGGTTCTGGAACAATTATCATATGTTTTGCGACCGTAATTGGATACGCACCTGCGACCACGGCCAGACGCAGGTGGGTTTTTGGCGGGTTTGCACCAATTTGACCAGGGGCTGCCTGGCTTGAGGCAGGCAGTAGCAAACCATTGAACACCCGGAGGTGTCCTCCGATCGTCAGAGACAATGCGTGGCCCTCGTGCTCTACGCCAATCGAGCTGTGAGATTATAACCCGTAAACCTGTTGTCTGCCATGGCTAGGTTTTACGGGAAGAGGGCCATCGACCACTTCCTAACCTCCGGAGAAGATGGACTAGGATACTGCCAGGGCGCCCAATCCTGACAGGAGAACGACTCGGGTCCTCAGCCAAAGCCTTCGATTAAATGAACACCCGAAAGGCAGCGGGTCTAGCACATGGTCAGTTAGCCGACTCATGCGGATTGGTGTCCTGGATCTTAGCAGGGAGAAGGGCGAAACCCAACTCCCACCCAGCGGTCGCCACGTGGAGGCGCCCGGGACATGAGCTAGATCCTGACAGATGGTCTACCCACTGCTGCCACTACTGCGCCATATATATATATATATATATATATATATATATATATGCATACATATATGCCGATATGTTAAAGCAAACTATCACCATAATACTTTAATTATGTTTTCGGCTTAGTACTGACGACGCGTTCTTCATACGTGTATGACAAAAAATGCACTGTGAGGTACAAGGTACGTATGATAATTAACAGTTTACTGAGCAATGTCTATGGAAAGTCTACCAAAACACTATATTTATTCAATGTATCGTATAAAAATCTCCATTCACTTTAACAGTGCTTTTTCTCCAGCCGATAAACATGGTGAAATATTATCCCTTAGATATTTTTACTTTTGGTCCGCTAGTCTATAGCAAGACTTATCGTATTAGGTTTAACAGCAGAAACAGATGGGGATTACCGCTCCTCAAATCTTTACATCCACTCCTAACCAAGTACTTTCGTTCGGTCTTTTTGTGGGAAGCGAAGATATTTCCGCAGCCAGTCCCAACAATGACGCTTCCGACAGACACAAGCTTTATGATATCAGTTTTCATACAATTTATGCAGATGACACGGCTGGCTCAGCAACATGCCAGTCGCAATTTGCACTCAATGCTTCCGCTATCTCCTTGTCCGAAGTCTGCCAGGGTTCCCAAAAGTTAAATAGCCCGTACCCCGAACTTCTTAGTAACGCATACGACTGCGACGTCTGTACTAACCTTCTCTACTTACCTCTATCTCAGTGCTTCAGATAATCCTGATCCAAGCAAACTAACGCCCCCGTCCACTGACGAATTCAAACCATTTTCTACAGAAGCTGGCCATGCACTTTTCTAGCAAATAATCATCATACAGCATCAATCTCTATCCAGGCGTGTTTTGGTGCTCAATGCACGCTCCCCAAGAACAAAATCCAGCTTTTGTGCCCAATATATTCCTCTCACATACACAAATCCTACTTGTGACAGAGACGCGGCTAATGGAAGATATTCTTGAGTTTGACTACCACATACCGGAACACAATGCCTTTATTGGTTGTTGTAATTCAGAACTAGGTGGTAGCTGCGTCATCTACGTAGAAAATAAATAGCGTGATTCAACCGTAAATGTTCCCACAAATAAGTGCCTCCAGGACTCCGGTTTTGTACACATGCGACTGGATTACAATTTATTACTCCCTGGGTGCGTATGCGTACACAGAATTCCAGTATCGTAGAAACAAATGCATAGTATGAACTGTTTTGTTAGGTAGCAAAGCAGCCGGCAAAATACACAACGATAGGTAGAGATTTCAACATGCCGGACGTTTGATGGACCTTAGACCATCTACCCATCAAATAACTAAATCTGTTTTTTCTGTACATAAATACGGATGAACGGATCATGGCACAATTACCACTATCTGATCTGGATCTGATATTTGCTATTGGCTTAGTGGCAGATTCAGCTAATGTTCTGCAACACTTTCAGAGTAATGAATGGTCCCTTTGTATCCAGTAATCACGTCCGACTTCCACTAAGAACTAGACCCAAGTCACACAAGCTCTCATGACACCATAACTCAGTTAAGTCGAACCCGTTTGTTACCTTGCTGAAGTCCTCTCAGTGGAAGTTCATTTTCCTCCCCGATGACCTGCAAACAACAGTTGGTGATCCCAATAATAATATTGATTTCTGTCTCGACATGTTGGCTGCTATGAACCATAGATACTTTAACCTTGGTTGCAAAAAACGGCTTCACCTGTGACAGCTGTTAATTTAACGGTCTAACGCGAAACGCCTGACTTCTCACTCTTTATGCAGCACCTTTAGTTGCCACATCATTAAAACGGGCCTACTCACTTAACAATTTTTGTTGAGAAACGAGCACTCAATAGTTGGTTCAGAAACCGCGAACTGATCAGTTTTTAAAAGAGCAGAAAGTATGATCAAGGCACAATCTCACTCCAAACATCAGACAGCTGCAACATAACAGAACTTGCTCAAGCTAGCAAAT